ACTATGACGAACATGCCACAATCGCCCCTACAATTGAAAATAATTGTTAATTCAGTACCGTGTAGCTAAAAACTAATATATAAATAAAAAAAAAATTACAACCACTTACAATATGGACTGTCTCGTCGTTGTCCTGTTCCACACGATAACTAGTCTGTCTTGCACATTCACCCCCGCATGTCTAGCCATCAGAGAAACAATCACAGCCACCGGCTCCAAGTTTTGCTCAAGCTAACCCTGTGTCAGATATGAATGATTGGGGTCATACACATATAGAATCGAGTCAACGAAGACGATTTCCAGGGCAATGCAGTGATGATTCACGATTACTGAAATGTACATATACGTACAACCCTCCCATGGTTTTCATCAGGGCCACATCTTCCGTCGTATATGAAAAAAGTGACTCAAATATAGCATCTGATGCCCACAACGAATCATCATACCCCATATGACCATCTGCTCCATCACTCCCTCACCCAAGAAAATCGCCAATCCCTTCGTCATCTCCTCCATCCCGAAAGCCGCCAGTCCCTCGTAGGCCTGCTATGTCACCTTGCATCATTGTGATCTTAGCATGAATGTCTCCTAACTCGGCTCGTAGCATTGCAAAATCATCTCGTAATTCCACCATGTTGCCTCTCATCTTCCTCATAAATGCAGTCGGGACTTTGAACAAATCATCCATCGAAGCATTGTGACTATGTGCAGGAGGTGATCTCCTTGACGGAGGTAGTATCGTTGGTGGAGGTGATCTCCTTGATGGAGATGATATTGGACGGTGCTCCTAAAAAAACGAATACTACAAATAAATAACTTAATTAAAAAAATCAAAACGACAATCAACAAATTATGTTCAATTAACATACCTCATCTCGATCCACGCATGACTCGGACACCTGATCATCTGGCACAGTTAGAATAGACAATCCACAGAGAAAACTTTGACCTTCTTCGATGATTGACGGTATCAACTTCGTGAGGGCTTCAAGCTGACACATTGATATTTCACCGAGTTAATGGTCATATATCAAGATTTCGAAAAGACGTAAAATATAAATTGTAAATGTATAATACGTACCCCATGATCGTCGAAAAGAGCTGATAATTGTTTAACAAGTGGCTTGTTTTGTGCTCACCAGCGATGCATAAAAAATTAGTATGTCTCCACTCTCATCGCATATCGACTGGCCAAGATGAAGACAGTCTCATACATTATTATATATAGACTTTAATAAAAAAATGTAGATAATTCATTATATTAAACATTTACCTGCAAAGCCAACGACATGCCATATGTATTGTACTTGCGCTTGGACCTACTCTCTTTAGGCATCGAATACCCCCTACTGAAGATATGCAAGGTATCCGTAAAACGCCTCTATCTCCATGGATAGTTGTTGGAGGTATCAATGTCATTAATGACCTCCAAATGAAAAATGTTAATTGACGTCTTCTTGTGATGACATCTGAGTATACTCTTGAAGATGAGCACCAAGCCCAGCTTCAACTTGTTAGATATTTGGTCACATTCGCTAAATTTTCTACCAATTGCGCCAGAGCCACTATCGTCTACCCATGAAAATATTCATTTAGAAACCTCCAGTTTCTCGAAAATACTGGCCATCGATGCTCCTTCCCCCATACAACTCAATCGAGTGATAAGTACAAACTCGAATACTTAATATTTCATTACTTTATTTAATTATTTATTTTAATGACTTATCTAATATTTATTTTTATTTAAATATTTCATCAATTATTTTAATTGTTTATATATACTTAATATTTTAATTTATTTATTTTAATTACTTATTTAATATTTAATTTAATTTTTTCTCGACTTTTTAAATAATTATTTAAATACAAATAATATACATAAACAATTAAAATAATTATTTAAATAAATAATTAAATATTAATTAAAATCATTATTTAAATAAAAATTAATTATTTAAATATAAAAAATTAGAATAATTATTTAAATTTAAAATAAAATAAAATTTATATAAAAAGGGTTGAGACGTTGGGTCGTCTGGAGGCTCAGCATCTGGATCAATCCAGATGGCCTAGCGTTTGGGCACTGGGCCGTCTAGATCCAAAAGGCGATATCCCTTTACTGTTTGTGTTATCACAGACAGTTGGAAATTTCGGTCATGACAGCGATCTCCGTCACCTAAACTAATAGCAAGAGCGTACCTCTATCACATATCAACATTTTTGCATACTGCAGCATACATTTTTCAACAAATTCAAGAGTAATCATATTTTATTTCAAAATTTAATTGCATATAATAATTTCAATCAACTCACCTGAAATTCCTTTGGTCGGGATCGTCGATTTCTTGGTGTTGATCAGCGTCTAGGCATCGATTTCTCTACAGTAATTTTTTACTCTCTTCTTTCTTTTTCACCGTGTGAGGGTCTAAATGGCAAGTCAATAATTTTTAAAGTTTTGAACATTTTTTCTTTCTTTATTATTATTATTATTTTTTATTTGAAAAAAACCGTCAACGGCCATTTTGGAAAGATGGCCGGTTCATCTTCCACTGATTCCTGGAGCACTCACTACCCAATTCCAGTAGTACCCAAACAGACCCGCATAGGATGGATAGGCATCGCCGTGATGGGCGGCGCCATGGTCTCCCGCCTCATCTCCGCCGGTTATGCCGTCACTATCTACTCCCGCACCCCCTCAAATGCTACTCCTTTACAATTCCAAGGCCCCACCTGGTTTCCTCCCCGGCGGAGCTCGCTGCCCTCAGCGACGTCGTTTTCACCATGGTCGGCCACTCCTCCGACGTTAAACATGTCGTTATGGACACCCTTTTGCCTTCCGTTAACCCCAACACTGTCATCATTGACCACACCAGCAGTCATCCAGCTCTAGCCAGACAAATATACGAATCTGCCCTTGAGAAGCATTGCGACTGTGTTGATGCCCCTGTGTCGGAAGGTGACATCGGGGCTATAGACGGGAAATTGGCAATTTTTGCCGGTGGGTACAAGGTTGTGGTGGAGTGGTTGAGGCCCTTGTTTGATGTACTTGGGAAGGCGACTTATATCGGAGGTAAAAGGACAGAGCTGTAAGATAGAGAATCTGATCACAGTGGGTGCGAGTTTAGTAGGATTGAGTGAAGGGCTGGTGTTTGCAGAGAAGGCGGGGTAGGATCAGGGGAAGTTTATAGAGGCGGTGAGGGATGGAGCTGCCGGATCAATGGCGATGGAGCTGTTTGGGCATAGGATGATTAAAAGGGATTTTAGGCCGGGAGGATTTGTACAGTACATGGTGAAGGACTTGGGGTTGGGAGTGGATGTGGAGGAGGGTGATTAGGACAATGCGAAGGTGTTGCCTGGAGCTGGGCTGTCAAAACAGTTGTTTTCGGGTATGGTGGCTAATGGCGATGACAAGCTTGGCACTCAAGGGATAATTACTGTAATAGAGAGAATAAATGCAAGTTTGATAAATATTAGCCTTTGACATTGCGATGATACCGGCACAAATCAGTGTGGTTAGTATTGCTGCATTCTACTTACTTTGTATTAAGGATTTGGTGATTGCCTATATTTTGTTCAACAAAGTTATAATGGTGTTTCGTGGATTGCTTAACACTTACAATGGCATGCCTGCTTAATACCAACTTGGTGATATAGGATCTTTTGTGTTTTCACATGCAATGTGGAACTTGTTGTATTAATTACTGAAAGTTTTGGGTTTTGATGGTGTACCCGAGTATAATGTTTGCATATGGTACTAACAGGTCAAAGTTATTTTGTATATTGCTTTTAATTTAATAGAAGTTCAGATCTCTGTCTGCCTTGTCAATACAGTATCATCTTTCGAATTTATCTACGTGGTGGGCACTTTGGTGTTGCCTTGTTGGTTTTATGAGGTGAGGAATTTTATGTATTTTCATGTTAGCTTATAGTTGATCTTATTTAGACAGCTTCCATTTGGAACTCTGATGCATAAATGGGTCTCCATGTAGCCTCAGGCAATTTTGTACTTGTCAGATGGTCATCTATTGCTCAAACTCGTGCCCCTGCATCTTACATCTTCTACTCTGATCAGGGGAAGAGTTTTGAGTCTTTGACGAATATTACAATTGAATTTGACACAATGGTAATCTAATCTAAATTGTTAAATTACATTCGGACACATCTCTGATGTGAATGAAATATGTATATTTGAATCCCTTCGAACTTTCTTTAAAGATTCACTATAAAGGTATCTGAGTTTCAAATTTATTTCACTGTGCGAATCCTTTTATGATTTATCTACCACCCCTGCCTCTTGCTCAGATTTTGATGTTATCTGTTCTAAAACAATCATTAATTCTTGGTTTGAGTAACTGAAAATTTCAACTTTTAATTAATTGATTACGAGGGAGGTGGGTGTTGAGGGGTTTGCCAGCGAAGGTTGGAAGTGTTTAGTAAATTGGGGCTGGGGGTTAGATCCAACAGCAAAGGTTGGGGTGGTAGGGAGTGAGATGCAGAGGGAGAGGTAGTGGTAGTGATAATGGTAGTGGAGGTGAAAAGTGGTGGTGTGGTGGGTGATACAGATAATCATTGATAAAAAATTATGAAGATTTATGTTGCTTGATTCATTGGGCTTGGATAAGAGGGTGATTATTGGTTCCAACTTTTCTTGCTCAATTTATGATTGAGATTAGTTTGAGCTCTTTAGGTTAAGAATACGTCTTTGTTTAGCTAGGTGAGGCCTTTTGTCAAGCCTTACTATTTGATAGATAACTCCATCTATGCAGTGAATGGTAAGGAAAGAGGGAGAGAAAACGAATGAATATCTTCTGCTTGAGTCCGCACGATTTATCTATCTTATTATAAGCGTTGAACCCCCACTTCTTCTTGCTAGAAAATGGGAAAAGACTCAAATAAACATACGAGGCAAACTTTTCACTAAATGTTTAATTAGCAAGGTTCTTTGGGCCCTTTTCTTCTACGAAAGATGGAAAATAGGCTGAAAATATTTTTCTTTCAGCTTTTTTTTTTTTTTTTTTGAATCCCCATCCTTTTGTAAATCACAGCCTTGCTCCTTTTCAACAGAGGTCTTCTTTCCCAACCAACGGTTTGCTACGCTTGTTTGTGCTGTACAATCCCCTCACTTCAATACTTGCTTTACTTTCAATAGGGAGTGAGTCACTTTTCTTCATAATGCCCAAAAGCCTTCTAAACATTTTGATTCAAATTGAGTGCTGCCACACAAACCATTTTGAATTTTCAAAAATCCATTGAATTTACTTAAGAACTCAAATTTTTTACAGAGTTATAGTTGTAACTAAATATCTAAAAGTGAGTCCAATCATATTATGTCAAAAACATTTACACGGCAGTTCATATTCAGATTTATAGTTGTAACTAAATATCTAAAAGTGAGTCCAACCATATTATGTCAAAAACATTTACATGGCAGTTCATATTCAGAACACAACAATGCCAGATACAAAAAGAGGACAAGCCAATTATCTTGAGAGATCTATATGCATATTTGAGCAGTTTGGAGCTTTCATTTCTTGTTCATCTAGTTTGGATATCACCAATTTGTCAATTTTTCCCATCATTTACTTCAGTGTGTTCAGTGGTGGATTCTCCATTTGCGGCCTTGGATTCATCCTCCTCAGCTGTCTTGACGAGTGATACACCACTTATTGATATTGATTTGTCCATGATAGAAACATTGTCTTCTGGTTTGTACTTGTACCATGTTGCCCAATAGAGATAGTTAAAGAAGTTGAGGACACTAAGAATGGCCAGAAACCAGTAGAAGAGATTCAAATTATTCTGGTCCAAGATATGTCCATGCAACCACCCCTGTTTGCTAGGTGTAATTTTCTTGGTCACGGCATTAATGGTGTCAACAAATATAGTGCTCAAGAAGTAGCCAAATGATAGTGAAATCCATGTAAATGAAGTTGAAAGGGATCGCATGCCTGCAGGGGCTTCCTTGTAGAAAAATTCCAACAGCCCAACTAGAGTGAACATATCGGCTATCCCGAAAATGCCATATTGAAACGATAACCAAAAGAGACTAATGGGCTTTAATGGATTCTCCAAGGATTGGTGCTTTCTCTTCACTTCCACTAGGGCTGCAACTGCCATGGACAGGGCTGAAAGGACCAAACCGACCCCTACACGTTGAAGTTGGGTAATCCCTGATCGATGCTTGGTAATTTTGCGCGCAAATGGCACAAAAGTAAATTCATAGATGGGGATAAGGATGATCATGAAGATTAGGGGGATTATAGGTATTGATGGAGCAGGGACTTCTAATGAGCCGAGTTTTCGGTCCATTGTGTTACCTTGCTGCACTGAGAAGGTTTGTAGTTGTGCCAGACATGTATTCATTATAATTGTGCTGGCTATGATAGGTAACATTCTTGTCAACACCTTTACTTCTTCAACCTGCGTCACTGTGCAGACTGTCCATGGCAAGGGCTCGGCATCATTGTGAAGAATTGCAGCTTTGTCAAGGGATCTGGATCAGGCCGTGTAATCTTGAGGAATCAGCAACCATTAGCAAAAAAAGAAATGCATTAAGGTACGTAATCTTTATGCATCTTTTCCAGTTTACTCATTATCTTGATGATTTAAGTTGCATGCTTTAAAATTATGTCAAAGATTTGAATTGGGGTTCACTTCAATGAAAAAATTGAGGTAGTTTTGAAGCTTCTCCATTTTTCCCTGCAACCGCAGTAGATTATTAGACTGGAGGGTTAATTTAATCGAGTAACTTTACATTCTAAGCTTATTGTCTGTTTTGTACTTATATGTTCATATAACACCCTTAAGTCCACCTTAATACAATTTCGGAATTTCCTCTAATCCTTTCCACAAATCGTAAATGGTGTACAAAACGCAGCCTGGATGTTTATTTCGTACACATTACTACATGGGACATAACAATATTAAGCCCCTGTTTGGCTTAGGTGAAAATCAGATTTTTAGTAGCTTTTAATAAAAATTGATAGAATATGTGGTTGAAAAGTTGTGGATTCTATAAAATATGTTGTTAAAATTAATTGTTGAATTTGACTTAAATTATTAACAAACTTTTTAGTTGAACCAAACAGGGTTTGAGCAAGATAAAACAAGACAACTAAAATCTTTTTCCTTGTACTTTCGAGTCCCGTCCTACTTAATAAACATACCGTTAGAGGATAATTTTGTCTTATTCGCTCCATAGGCTAAAATGGCACCTGTTTTGTATCAATGCGACTATGATGCAGTTAAATCCAAGTGGGGGTGGGTTCAAGAAGGAGATTACTGCTTTCTCCAATAATAATTAGCTCGACAAGAAAATAAATAAAGTACCTAAACTGTTCAGTATGAGCAATCTTGGCCTCTGTGGAAGCTGATTCTCTCTCATTAATCTCATACAATTCACTGGCGCTCTCTGGAGGTGGCAACTTTCTATTCTTTATTGCCACAATAATAACCTGAGAATCGGGATTAAGAAAAAAATGACTTGAGAACCTTTTTATTTTTATTTTATTTTATTATTATTATTATCTTAAATTGTGATATAATAGATTAGCCATGACATTAAATTGTGATATAATAGATAAACAAATCACGTGTCAGCGTATCTCACATGTATCGTGCACGTGTGTGTCGGTGCATCATACACTCTAAGCCTCTCTGAAATAGGACCTGGCCTAGCTGATTTGACACCATTAATTTGAATGTATGGATGGTGCAGTCAGCATTGAAATCTTAAATATTTGAAAATAGGCAAAATGTGTGCACGAGCATGTGACGGAGGGGATAGATACCTGTGCGATTCTTACTAGAGGGCTTTCTTCAGGGGCTTGAAGGCGGTAGAAAGGCTTTCCGAGGGCAAGAATGATAAAACCAACAAATGCACTCACAAGAGTTATGAGAAAACCCTTCCACCAGTTATGGTTATTCTTGTTTGTGCTAATGTAAACTATGACAGTGACTCCAACTAATGAACCAGTTACCGTACTGAGCAAGAGCCAATTGAAATAACTTGCAAGACCCTTGGCTTCCTTTGGGTCCTTCTGATCAAATTGATCAGCACCAAGTGCAGGAAGTGACCCCCTAACCCCACCTGATCCCAGTGCAAACAAACACAGGGATGCATAGAACATGATTGCTGGTCTACCTGTCATACAATTTGACTTGCCACAAGATGCTGGTTGCAACTTCTCGTCATGTGCTTGAATTGTCATCATCATTAGAGCCTAAGGAAATTAATGAATACAAACTCATTTCTCAGGATTTGGGACTTGCTATGAAAGAAAGTATAGGCAGAAAAGAGTACTGAGGAGAAAACAGGGGAAAGAAGCTAACCAATATCTCTACCGTCCCAAAAATCAGACTAGTGTGGAATCTGTTTATATAAGTGTCCGAAATGAAGCCACCCACAACAGATAGCAAGAAGGCTGATCCCATCAAGTTTGTGAGAGTATTAGCAGCACCAGATAGATCAAAATGCAGCTTGAGCCAGAAATACAGCACCAAGCTCGCTATGTTTGCAACAAAACCTGTGTTCTCCAATGCCACCGTACCTTTAAACGTACGAAATATAGATGCAATGTACAGATTTATGTAGTCAGAAATCTTTACTTACATCTTCGGTAATGAGGATTGGATAACAATGAACAGTATTAGTGTAGAAAAATGAGTTAAATTATTGTACATTATACTTTTCAGTTGGAGTTCTTGGTTTTACCGTAAATGAAAGAAGTTGCTTTGAATCCTCCTTTCACTTGTACTTTCCATGGGTATAGAGTATTGTACTCCGGCTTAGCTTCTTCTGCCTGTTTGGATGACATAATACATTAGTGGCATACCCTGTAAAGTGGACTGAATAGTACTCGATGATATCAGACTAGAAATTAAGTTAAAATTCTATTCATTGTCGTGTTCAATCCAACCTAGTACTGCATGCATACCAAACTTACTCTAGACGATATAAACTCCGTGTGGGAGTGGTAGGTATTAGAAATACGTACCATGGATGGGAGCTTGGCAGTGAATATGTTTAGGATGGAAATGTGAATATGTGAAAGGGGGGTTTGCTTGATCATATATATAGGGTAGAGGGCTTGTATATAACATCCATTAGCATCTCATTGGTCGCCTTCTTGTTCTCACTGTCGTTTTTCTCCTATCTGTTTCTCTATATATTTATATATGTACAAAAATATATCACGGTTGGGTTTAATGTTTACTTCCGCAAGGCCTTGCTAGTGGGAAGGTGATACCATGATAGATATTTCATATATATATGTATGTATAGAAATACTTTAGACCCTCGTGTTCGATGGCAATTAATATTTGACTCTTTACCCTTGTACCCTCCTTTTAAACAGTTCATTACAATCTTGCATGTAAAGAAATTAATTCAAGAGGATGACATTTTTCAGCCATAATATTATTTTCACTTTTAATTTTGTTGAGGCCATTCAGTTTTGAAATTATCGAAGATTGTGGGAGGGCTTATCAGTAAGATGGACTTTTTACGCGCTTTTATTCAGTCATACTTTTGATTTTATTGAGTATAATATAAGCGATTAACTTATTTTGCCTTGCGAAATAAAAGTCGTCAAGGAGTTGCTCCTCGAGATAGTTGGCAATTTATCTAATAATCCGATCACCATCAACTTAGAATCTCACACTTTAGGAGAAAATAATCTTCATGAAAATGACCTTATATATAGTATTATTATTTACCAGTCATATTACTTATATCCAGCCATTTTAGTTGTAGAAGTGCATTCAAGGTCATGAACTTGAGGAAATTAAATATATTTGGCTAGAATATGACCCCATGTTTAATAAATGAAAAGCTTGTGGCTTTATTTCAGTGGCTTCTTTAAAAGTATTTTCTAGCAATCAAACTTTATCTACCAAATGGTTTGTTTGGTTGGAGGGAAGTGAAGACGGGAATTAAAATTTTTGGAAGTTATGGGTTTGATTTTTTACCGCTACCTGATTATAAAAGTTTCACTTATAAGATTTTTAATAAAAAAGTGAATTCATCGTGCGTGTTTAAGCTTTTAAATGATATGATGTGAGACGTCACAAAAACTAAGAAATTTCATGTTCTTTTCCATAAGCTTTGATATATGCGTTCGTGTTATTTTCCATTGCCCCCCCCCCCCCCCCCCCCCAACCCCAAAAAAAAAAAAAAAAATAAACCGGGCCCTTTGTCGTTTTTTAAAGTGTTGATACTTTCTTTTGTTTCATTCCACTAAAAGTGAATGAATTGCTTTTGAGAGCATTTACCTAAACAATATTGGTAAAATAAGGATCCACTAAAAGTGTTAATGTACTGTAACAAATTTTTCTGTTGTGAATCTTATGAATTTAATTACAAACATTAACTTGTTCATCTTACAATATATCTTTCATGAAAAAGAATTATGTATGCCTTGCATTGCATGGAGAAATTGGATACAAAGGTCTTTCCTATTGACTTGGATACAATGAGGTTTATATATCACTTCTAATTGTTTATAGTTTATGGCAATGTTTCTTACGTTAGATTGCAATGATCGGAAAGGATAACCGGTAAATGTATATAACTTTGTTCTTTTAGTCGTGATGCTTCACATACTAAACATTTCGTTATGTAAAATTTCGAGATAAAATGACAAAGTAGGGAGCTTGGATCGAAGGAACCGACGGAGAAATTTAACATAATATATGACTATCCAATACATTTTCATTAATTAACACATTGGTCTTGATAATGATTTCTATTCAAATATTTTGCTTGCAAAATCAATGGAAGGTTGATGATAAAAATACAGCTCAAAAAGTTAAAGATATAAGTGCGACACTAAAAGTAAAGTTCGGAATCTTAAGCGGTGTCGTTGCCAATATAATCAACCCTCTGTTGATACTTAATTACCATCGGTTTAGCTAATTAAAAACTGATAAAATTCTAATTTAAAAGTCAATAATTAATTTTAATCACTCGTTTCATAAGACTTACAATTTTAATCGACTTTTCAAAAAACATTTTCTCAACTAAAAATCTAAATTTAGTAAAAATGATGTTTTACCTCGGATCAAAGTTACGAAAATGGTTTCAAGGTGTACCACAAAATTAATGATCCCTACTTGTAGTGGAATAAAAGGAAAGTGTGGTGTCCATCTCAATAACCACAATAGATATCTAAAATGATACTTTACCTAAGGGTGGAAGTTCCCGCAATTAATGATCAATGCTTGTTCATTACGAAAATTGGTACCTCAATTTTCTTTTCCTTTTAAAAGTTAGCCTAGACATAATTAAACAAGATTAAAAAAGAGAAGTACGGAATGAAATTTGTCAATTATCATGCTTCGTTGCGTTCAATTTAGTAGAGCATTATTTCGAAAGCATTTTGTTTTTTTAAAGATGATGATGATCGTAATAAAATTTGTCAATTGTCATGCCCAGTCGCCTTCAAATTAGCAGAGGCTTCGTTTCGAAGGCCAATCGTTTTTTAAAGATGATGATGATACAATCCTATTTCTTCGTTTCATTTGTCAAATCTTTATATCTCTCAAACATAGATTAATCGATGTGGATTTATTTCTTGAGCATCCACTTGATAAACCTACTACTGTCATTCTCATCCCTTTTTCTTTATTACAACTTTAAGGAAATCCATAAGATTAGAAATATTAGTCCCTTTCTTTCTATTAATTTACTTATAATTGAGAAAAAGTTAGGCGTCAAAGAGTCGCGATTCCTTAGAATACCGAGATTATTGGATACATAATTGAGAATACTATCTTTTCATTTCATTAAATCCCATTTCTAAACGGACCCAATAAAATCCTAATCTATAAGGAAATTTGAAAATACCATAATAAAAATTTTAGTCTGATATATTAATTAAAAGAATACCATAATAAAATAGGTTAATCAAAGGGAAAAATCTACAACAAAATTGTATTTAAAGAATAGTGCTATTTATGGTGAGCAATTGTAGTAGTTATCGTACGTGACAGTTTGTCATATGAGGCAACAAAATTACATGAAACTAACGCCTAAAATAATAAGTTGTCATATAAAATGATTATTGTAGTCGTTGATTATTAATAGCATTATTCAATTTTGTCAAAATGATTCATTGTCCATACATAGGCTACGTCAAAGGCAATTTTTTTTTTTTTTTTTTTTTGAGAGAGAGAAGAAGTGATAAGTAATTTTGCTCGACTTAGAACACTAGATAAAAATCGAAGTTCAGAAGTTTGTAAATGAGGTTCTATGAATGAAAGTTCGAATCTTAATAGCACCACAAGTTAATTGTGCACGCGCGTATTATCTAGAGTGTTTCTCTTGATCGATGGGGATAACAACAATTTCTTGTTAAAATAATGAGAGAGAGTTACTTCCCTTTGATATGAGATAATGAGAAGATACATTGAATTTTATATCTTGCTTGATAGCTACTTGCATTAGAATTTATATATTATTGTGATCGAACCTTTTGCATTTAATCCAAATGTAGGATTTGATTTTTGTCTTTTGAAGGATCCGATTTTTAGAGGACTAACTGATTGCAATCAATAATTTTAGGCTAAATAAATTGTCCCCATGTGAATAACATTTTAATTACATAAGATAATTTTCATAAACTTTACTCATAGTCAAACTTATGTCCTCAACTTTATTTAATTTTTATCATCAACTTTTCACTAATTATTACATATTGTCTCTAATGACAATTTTCATCCAAACATTTCATTGAGTAAACCAACTTAATTTTCCCTCATATTTTTTAAGTAAGAAAAACATAAAATTACGTCTAATTATTTGTGAGGAGTGTCGACACCTTTATGTACAAAAAATATAGGGAAAATTGCAGCCGAGGTACCAAACCTTTCGTTTATTAGTAGACTTTGCCCAAACATTTAGTTTATGCTAGCTACAATCCCAAACCTTTCAAAAATATGCACGGGAGGTTCAAATGGATGGAAATCATCCGTTTGACCGTTAGTTGACTAGAAAAGTCAAAATTTGACCAATTTGGACCAAATTAAGAAGGTCAAAATGGTTCTTTACATTTTTTTCTTAATATTAATAATTAAAATAATTAATAATAAAAAGGGCAAAGTGGTACTTTGCATTTTTTCTTAATATTAATAATTAATAATAACAATAGAAAAGTAAAAACAAAATAAATAAAAATCGAAGAAAAGAAAGGGAATATTGTTTATCTTCATCTTCGCCCCACCCCGCCCCGCCCCGCCCCACCCCCTTACTCAAAACCCAAAACCAGAATACCCACGGCCACCATGTGACGAGGAATATGTAGAAGATGCAAACTTACAACAATTTATTACCCTTCTCGAACGACTTTCGTCTTCTTCACTTTTTGATCAGAAAGAGGCAGTCAAAGAGACTCAGGTGCTCTCTAATCGCTCACCTTCTTTTCGCGCTCGTTTTCAAGATGCCATTCCTCGACTATTCAATACAGTCTTGCTTGAAAGGGCTAATTCTTATATTGATCTCCGTGAAGATTTGGTCGCAACCATTTTGAATCTCTCTATTCATGACAGCAATAGAAAGCTAGTTGGGGAAACTCCATCGGCCATTCATTTTCTTATCAAGACCTTGAGAAGCAAAAAAATCGAAACGAGGAGCAATGCTGCTGCAGCCCTGTTGGTATTATCAACCCTCGACTCAAATAAACACATTATTGACCGATAATGGAGACGATTTGAGATAAACACATTATTGACTGATAATGGTTATTCAACATGGTGGCCATGGGTATTCTGGTTTTGGGTTTTGAGTAAGGGGGTGGGGCGGGGCGGGGCGACGTGGGATGAAGATGATGATGAACAGTATTCCCTTTTTTTTAATTTTTTTTTTACTTTTCTATTGTTATTATTAATTATTTTAATTATTAATATTAAGAAAAAATGCAAAGTACCACTTTACCCTTTTTAATTTGGTCCAAATTGGTCAAATTTTGACTTTTCTAGTCAACTAACGGTCAAATGGACGGTTTCCATCCATTTGAACCTCCGGTGCATATTTTTGAAAGGTTTGGGACTGTAGGTGGCACAAACGAAAAGTTTGGGCAAAGTCTGCTAATAAACGAAAGGTTTGGTACCT